GCCCCCGCAGCGAAAAGGCGACAAAAGGGGGCGGCGAAGGGGGTCTGTGGCGCCTTGCCCGCCCCCCGCACACTTCACACGCTGCGCGACGGCGGCCCACGGGGCGTGAACGGGCAGCCGCCAGGATGCTCGATAAGAGGTCCACAGCCACACAGACACACACACGCCCCGCACCCGGCGCACTCCCAGAACCCACGAAATGGCGAGCTTATCGCGGCCAGCGCAAAACACCCATCGCGGGCAACGCGGCCTCCCCACGCCACTGGCAGAACGCGGCGCAGGCCAGCAGAGCGCGGGCCCTTCACACGCAAAGAGCGCAAAGCGTCCGCCTCGTCGTCCATCCCGCTCCTTTGGGTGGCCTCACTGCGGCGCAGGTGCACCCACGCCATGGCCACGGTGCGGCAAAGGGAACAGCGACGGAGCGCAATGCCCACAACGTGGGGAGGCCACACACAAACACACGCGCCGCACCCGCACACCCCGCCTCTTCTCTCCCGCCGCACCGGGCGCAGAAAGCGGCGGCCGCACGCCCCGCCCCCGCAGTGGGAAAGTAAAAAAAAAAAAAGTCCTCGTCGCCGTCGACTACCGGTGCCTCTAGCGGGAAAGAGGAGGAAGAAGGGGGAAATGGGGGCGTGTCGGCGGCGCAGCCAGCGGCGGTGGGGGCAAACAGGGCACGGAGACACGCAGCGGCAGCGGCAGGCACGGCGCACAAACTCAACGTGAGCCGCGGTGATTTACCCCAAAGAAACAAAAAAAAACAAACAAACAAGATTAAACCATTTAAAAAGAAGTTTAGGTCCAGCAGGACTCAGGGAAACAAAAAAAAGAAGATAAAACAAAGTTACTTCGGCAGGGGTTTCTTTATGCGTGTCCAGAAGCACAAGAGGACCGTGAGCGTGTATGTCTACCGCCTGCACGAAGAAAATAAAAAAAAACTGCTCAAGCTCGCACACACACGCACCCACACACGCGCGGTGGCGGCGGTCTCGTGCCTCACTTGGGCAGGCCGTGCGGGGCGCCACCGCGTGTGTGTGTGGGTGGGTGGTTGACAGCAGCAAACAGGAGGGGAATCTCGTCGCACGTGGAACTGTGTATAGAAAGCAACCAGAGGGGAAGGAGAAAAGGGAAACAAAAAACACAGAAGAGAGAGAAGGATTGTCCCACAGGGACGGCAAGCAAACTGAGCGCACAAGGCGTACGAGCCTTCCCTGCCAGGGTGTCAGTGTGTGTGTATATATTTTGCCCTCACCACCTACGCAGCAGCACAGGTAAGGGCAGCCGTGAGCAGCAGCAGCGACAGTAGCAGAAGCGCACGCACAAACAGGGCGTTGGTGGCAGTGCTGTCCGCAGAATTTGCTACAGCCGTCCCCGTGGCGCCGCCGTGCTCAGTCTTCGTTGGACCTTCCGCACCGCCTTGCTCTTCTTCACTGCCTTTTGCCGCATTCGTGTGCCCCGCGGCAACGTCAACGCCGCCTTCCGCCCTGCCCGACGAACTCGTTGCAGACGGACCCTCAGCCTCAGAAGCTTTGCTGCTGCCGCCGCGATCCGAGCCAGCACTGTGGGCGACGGCTGCGTCCTGCGTCAACGCTTCACCGCCGGGTCCGGCAGGGCTGACCTCCGCGTCGCCATTCTCCCCTTCAACCGGTTGCGTGTCCTCTGCGGCTGGTGGATCTTCTGTCAGCGGTGGCGCAACCACCGGTATTGGGTAGGCGCTGATGTTGGGGGGGACGTCGCACACATCGGCGTACTTGGGGCACACAATACTCCCGCTCCAGTGCTCCCCCTGGGGCTCAACAGTTTGGCCCTCCTCGCACTCGTGCCACGTTGCGTCGCCATGGAACTGCACCTTCAGCTTGCCGCCGTCGCACTGAGTGTTCACGCACACATCGCCAATGGGGGTTCCAGTCACTTTAAGGTCATTCCCTTTCACGCAGCGGGAGTTGGGGCCAATGAAGCTGCCGACAATCGCACGAGCATTGCCGTTGGTGCACGCATGCGCTGCGCGCCCAGTAACGTACGGGCAGTAGTCCATAAACACCGCCCTGCCGCCAAGCCTGGGGCCCTCGAAGTACTGATACTGCGGCGGAAAGGGTTGCTTGTGTACCCCGACATCGCAATACCCCAGAGACAGGCGGTCATGCGTACAGAGCAGCTTCTTCTCATTCCAAAGCTGTTTGCAGAACATGTCAGGGTAGTCGGTGTGGCCGCCGCTCAGGCACTTCTTTTCCAGCAGCCCGCAGCCGGAGTTGTTGCCCCACCTCATCGGCTCCGCCATGCTGAAGTTGACCCTGTACACGCCGCCCATGTCCGCAAACGCCGCAAGCGTCAGTGCCGAGTAATAACCCCGCTTGCCCGCAGGAGCCATCAGCTCCTCCTTTGCGTGGAGTTCCTTCCAATGCGACCCCTTCGACCCCGCATACCCCGCGTCCTCCAGCTTCATGCCCTCAAGTGTGGGGCAGTTGTAGTACTT